GGCCGCGGTCCAGCTGCCTTAGTGCTGCCCGCTTCACCCGAGCGCGGGCTTGTCCCGTGCTTCGCACACAGAGCCCGTGTGCTCCTTGTTCCTGGGTCAAGGGGAGAAGCTGGTCGGTGGTGACCTGCAGGAGGGACAGTTTGTCCAGAGGGGTGTCTCTCACGGGTCTGTGTGCATGCCCTCGGTGGAAGATTTCCTATCCCGCTTGTCTAAGTATGTTTGATTCCCCTCAGCACTCACTTGCCGTAGTTTATGTACTAATTTTCTCTTCGGTGTGGTACAGGTTAACTAAAAGTAACTTTCTTCCTTCAGATGCTGGTGTAGGACTGAGGCAAAGAAGAAATGCAGTTCTAGATCTCAAGTAATATTAACCCAGGGCCAGTGGGTCGGAGGGTAAGGAGAATGAGTGAATTGCTTGATCTTAATTTTAAGTGAGAAGAAGGAATTATAATGAAAAGCAGCACCTATTTCTCTCTGTGGAGCAAAGGAAGAAAGGGAGTATCTGGAGTGGCTATTTCTATAAGGGCTTGGGTAAGAAGAGAATAAAAGGGAGAACATCCCACTGGGCAGGAGCTTGGGAGGCTGAAGCACTGCGCTTCTTGAAGGGCAGGGAATTGCCAAAGGGCTGTATGAGGAAAGAACATTGCAGAGGTGACAGGGTGAGAGGCTGTTCACATTTTGTAAAGGCATGACTTAGGTTTGTGTACGGTAGAGGAGAACCAGGATTCAGTAGAAGAGGTTTTGAAATGTATTACTTGCAGAGTAAAAAGTACAACTGATTTTTATTGTGTCTTTCAAGATCGGAGCATGATTGATGATAATGTAAATGGAACAAGTATCTTGAGCTGCACTTCATGAGTTAGCTTCATGAGGGTAGAGTCTCACTCTTAAAATAGTCTATATCAACAGGATCTTTCATCTCTGACTTCAGAGTTGTAGCTGCTACAGTAAAATAAGGCTGACGTATTTTGTTTTCAGTGTTATGTATTGATACTGAACTTTTGTTTGGCTGGGGATTTTTACATTTTCATGTGTAGAACTGAACATATTTGCTTCCTCAAGCGGTAGCAGGGGAAATGAAAATGAGACCGGCCTTAAGTGACTGTCAACCTTGGCAGCAGAATTAAGCTAAATAACATAAAATACACAAATAGAGAATCTTTGCTTGGATTTTAAAGTTAGGCCACTTAACTTACCAGCAGATGTCGCTGCATTGAGTGAGTGGCAATTAACTGCAGAAAGGGTTTTGCAGGATTTAGAAGTAAATACAAAAAAGGAATTAATTAGATCTTCTCATTCCTTTGCCCCTGAAGCAAAGCATCAGACCTTATGTGATTCATTTTGATGTTGTGGTGATATAATTAAAGTCTCAGCTCTTCTTATAAACAGGAATGACCACTTTCAAATCTGGTTCATTTTTACTTTGAATTAGTTAACGTGTTAGGGTGAAAAGCTTGAAATTAATTAAAGTCTCAGCTCTTGTTGTAAACAGGAATGACCACTTTCAAATCTGGTTCATTTTTACTTTGAATTAGTTAACGTGTTAGGGTGAAAAGCTTGAAAACGTGAATCAAAAGCAAGAGGCCTAAAATACATAGGATGTAGGTGGATATAATCAAGATATGCTACCTAAAAGTCTCCAGATCATAAAATGGTATCATGAATTTGAGTATAATTCAGTGATGTTTGAGCACTCTGGGTTTACAGACTGAACTTTTTAAGATAGAGGAATGTGATTTCTTCATTGGATGTGTACTTTTTCCTGTTAAAATATTTTAAGATTGTTAATACTTTTGTTATCAATAGCTTCTGCACATTTGTGTGCAGAAAATGCTAAAGTATTTTGTTTAAATAGAGTACTCTATGCTGTAGGAAAAATACAGTAATTTTGTTCACTGGTGGTAGAATAATTTTAAGTACTTCTGCTTTGAAAAGTTGCAAGTTGCTGTGGAATTAAATGCTAAAAAGCTATTAAAAATTATGGGCAGTTAAAAGCTGCAGGAAGTACTTATGCTTGAAAGTGGGCATTTTGAGCAGTTACAGTAAATGTGTTCCATTTCTGAGCAGCCTGATTTATGAAAGCTCTGCCTCCCATTTGTACATGATTACAAACAGACAAATTACTGAGTGACCAGCCAATGCAGCTGTTAGTGAAAGCCCAAAGAGTATAGGCCTGATTAGTTAAACAAGCTGGATCATTGCCATTTCAAAGGATTCAAGATGAAAAACAAAAACATTTTGAAAATAAATTACATGCTTTAAAATAATGTGGGAAAGGACATTTAACTGGAAGTAAAAGATTAAGAATGCTAATGGACTGCATCATAGAAATAATTTGATAGGTGGTGATAATATGATAAAGAATCATGCTAATACACTTTAGGGAAAACAAAGGCAGATTTACAAGCAATGAGAAATATCTCTTGGCTCACTATGAACCTGTTCCTATGCTTCGTAAATGAGGATTATTTCTGACTTAGTTTGGATATTGTACATGTCAGTCTATCTTTGTCAGAGCTGTATTTGAGTATGCAGTTTTGAAGCTTCACACCATGTGTCCGTTATAATGGATGTAAGTCTCTGCCACTTGCTTAATACTTACACCTCTAAGTGTAAGTTATGTAGAATATTTGGAAGAATGAGGGATTTACATGTTTCTAAATAAAGTTGTGAACAAAAAGTTTTATTTCATGTTTATAAAATTTTCCAATCAGAACCCTTTCTTTACCAATAGAAGGGGAATGCATATTCAGTGTTTCATCTTGTTTAAAACATGAATATTGTTTGAGCATTTAGAATCACAGATATGTTGGCTGGAAGGGACTTTTGAGTGTCATGGAATCATACAACCACAGAATGATTTGGGTTGGAAGGGACCTTAAAGACCCTCTAGTTCCACCCCCCTGCCACAGGCAGGGACACCTTCCACTAGAGCAGGTTGCTCCAAGCCCCTGTGTCCAACCTGGCCTTGAACACTGCCAGGGATGGGGCAGCCACAGCTTCTCTGTTCCAGTGTCTCATCTAGTCAAAGCTCGTGCTTGGAGCAGGACAGTTGCTGGCTCTGGGTGAAGCCAATCCCATGTGTAGACTTTTGTACTGCTTTAAGTTCATGAGGTTTCTGTTTTCCAGTCATGCAGTTTCTCAGTGCCCCGTCTAATTTAGCATCATCCACAAGTTAGCTGCTGGTACATCCTGTCTCATCATCCAAGTTACCGATACATTTATTGAACTCTATCAACCTCAAGGTACTCTGACTGTTACTAGCCAGCAACTGGACCAACTTAAAGCCACCAAGTCCCAACAGCTGCCTAATGCGTATGCCAAAAACACCATAGGTCAGTCAAGGTGTACCGTAGCCACTGCTGTCGCCTTAGCTGTGTGACCAGACCTTTCATCACAGTAGGTGTTCAGATCTATCAAATATAATTTGGCATTGATAAATCTGTGTTGCATCCCTTTGATTAGTTTCTAAGCTTTCACACAGCTAAGGGGACAAGCTTTGAGCATGTCCCATACCAGCAGATGAGGTGGTCTTGACTGGACATAGGCAAGTACTTCTTGCCTCTTAAAATGACCACGCATCGGCCCTTTTCCAGTCCACTGCAGACTTTCTCTGACAACTGTTTTTCATAGGTAATAGACAGTTGCCTCACAAGCATGTCAGCTGTGTCTCTTGGCAACCTTTGAGTGTAACCCATCTGGCGCTGTGCATTTGAATACATTCAGTTTCTCTTGAGCAGTTGCTGGCCCCACTCCTACTTATCCCTCTTCCTCCCGAACACTACTGGTCCAAGCAGAAGTCTGGGTGCAGGCTTTGCCTGTGAAGACTGAGGCAGAAAAGGTCTTTTTCTATACCATCCTTTTGTATACCATCTGTGACAAGGTTCTCTTCCCTTTCAAGCAATGGATGTACATTTTCACTTCAATTCTTTATGATATTTTTGCACTTTTCAAATTCTGTCTTGTTACCCTGCATGTCTGTTGCTAGTTTCAGCTCCAGCTGAGCTTTGGCCTTTCTGATTTAATGGAAGTAAAGGGTGAAAACAAGCCATGTCAAACAGTGAGTGTTTTGTTTAACAAATATGTATATGTATTTTTCAGGAGCAGGTGATTCTGAAGACAGCCCAGTCACCATGGCTTGTGCTACTATTCATGTCGGTTTTACTGTTCCTCAGTTACTGAGAGGTGCTAGCAGAATTCTTCCCGCTCGTTCTGCATTGGTGGTATTGAGGCACTCTGCTTCTTGTTACTGCACAGTGAATGGGTAGGTTGTCCACAGACAAAAACTTCATTTTTTTTTTTTTCCTTCTTTCACCCAAAGAGAATGTCATGATAACACTGTCAAAATGAAGCTGACACGTTATTACAGACCTAGAAATACTTATTTAACTCCCAATTAAATATTTATACTTAATTCTTATTTAGGCTTATGTCATGTGTAGTCCAGATTACACTGGTAAATTGTTATGTTAATAGAAATTCATATCAGTAAGGGACAGTAGCACAGCTGTCAGAATGACAATTATCTTTGTTGGCTTTCTGTTGCAGCACAATAAAATCACAAAGGAAAATGGATCATCTGGAGAGGACAGCAAATAATTTTCGCCAGGAGGTTAGTGTTCTGTTCTTCAGGATGTAAGTAATTTTTTGTGTGTGTGTGAAGAAACTGGGTAATTACATTTGGCTTCATATTGTCTTTTACTGGAGTCTGTTATACTTCTTTTTCTCCTCATTTTTTGTATTTGATACTGTTATGAAAAGAAGCGTATTTTGTACTCAATGGGTGGAATGTAACGAGTTATAAAAACTGTGGGTGACAGTTTTACTTCATGTTGGACAAGAAATGTAATAGAGTTCTGGCCAAGTTTCTGGATTCTGGTAAGTTAGGAAAGCACACGGATACCCGTCATTTCTACACAAGCTTCTCAGACTTTTATGGATCTCTATAATTCTGGTTCAAAATTGAAATTAAAGAATGTGGAAAATACTCTTTTGTAACATAGGAGGTAAGATGAAAAGTATAGACATTTTGAAGGGAGAGATGATAAACACTTATAAAAAAGATCTCTAGTTTGTTTCTGATTTAATTCATGTACATACAGGTATTTCCTTTCTGTTATTAGCTGAAGTAGATGTTTAGAAATTTTTTAATACTGGGAGAATATGACTTCAATTCTCAAAAATGTTTCACTAGTAAAACAATTCTGCGTTTTTCTTCGACTTTTCAGGAGAAGTAGGGCGCTTTTTTGACTGAAAACCCCCATCTTTAATTCCCAGGAGTTGAAAAACAGTGCCCGTTTATTCTCTGTTGTTTGGTTAGCTTCTCTGTCTTGAGCAGCCATTCATGACAGGCCAGTCTTGCGTGTGTCATGCAGCAGGACTAACTACGTTCTCACACTACACAGATGTTAATGTGCATACGTGTACATAGTTTAGTCCTTCTCTCTCCTAGATTTTTCCCTAACTATAGTTGAGAGTAAGTCACAGTGAATTGCCTTCTCAAAAGAAAGCTGGATGGAGGGGGATATATAGATAACCCCCAAACCTGAACATTCCAAACTTACTATAGGCTGCAGATGGATGAGGTGAATGCAGCCTTGTTCTGCCTATTACCAGAGCTGTCAAGGTGAGAGCCAGCTTTAAGGAACTGTATGTCTCAGAGCTGTGTCTCAGCTACTCACACTTAATGTCAGCTCTTGGGTACAAATTAGCATTGCTTGTGGACACACAGCTGCTCAGGAGGATCCAATTTATGCCAAATTAACTCAGTACATGGAGAAAATGAGTGCAGAGTGAGGTACAGATAGATGCACATTCTTCTTTGCTTCTGACATGGAAAAAACGATTGCACTTTGAGTTTTGTAACCATGTTTATTTTATTTTGGATATTTCTGATTGCTTGGCTTGCTTAGCATTTATGCTGAGCAGAAAAGTGGGTACCTGGAAAATATGTGGAAAATGGATCCTTATGAGCTGTTGGAAGCCCTGAGGTTCTACAGGGAATAGGAACTGTAAGACCTTAGGAAGAAGAAGGAAGCTGAATGGGATAGATGGAAGAGCAGGGCTCAGTTCTTGCTACCACAAATTCTCCACGTATCAGAGGATTATGCTGTTTCTTTTTTTTAATGCTTGATTTATTCTTTGTTACTTTATTTCTGACCACTTTAAAATCAGTGTATTTTAAATCCTCCACTTGGTTTTAAATTCCATGTAATCAGCAGTTGGCTTCCCTCAGTCTGTATTGCCTTATTTAGCCATTTCAGTCCTGTAGAAAGATGAAAGAACCATAGATCTGTGTTGCGTTAGTGTGCATGCTGCACAGTGCTGCCTGTTGAGAAGTAATGTGAAGGACCAGGACAAGGAAAAAGTGCCTAATGCTTTCTTGAAATACAAAGTCTGGAGTCCTGTGTCCTCCTCCGTCTCACTGCAGCCTTGCTTTGGGCCGGTTGGGTGCTCTTGTGGTGGTCCAAAGTACTGGTTGAATGTCTTTGATCACCCTGGCTCAAATTTAATTTTTGTAATAACTTTATACTGATGAAGAATTAAATTTCCAGTGCTCTGTTAGATCTGTCAGCCAAAGAACAGATTGGGGAGTGTGCTGAGGAGTAAAAAAGGGAATAAAGAAGATCCAAACTTAATGTCTGTTTCCTGCACTTACTGTTTCTCCGTCAGAACAAGCATTTAAGTCATGGGTCTGACATTTCCTGTTAACTTAGAGTGATTGCAGTCCCCATGTAATACTGTCTGCTAAAGTGGAAAAGAAATGTATGCTACTTCATTTTGAATTGGCACATGTCCTGCTGTTTAATGGGACAGTGGACGTGTTCAGATGTCGCTTTATGAATAAATTAATTTCCTGCCATGTGTTTTAAATTAGAGCATAGTTGCTCCAAGTTTTGGGGTTTGGTTTTTTTCATTTGTTTGATCTTACACAAATGAGAAATGGTAGAGTTGCAGTGGTATTATTAGTATTTCCTAGAGTGGTAAGTGACATCAGCATTTTTTAACAAAGTCAAATCTGTATAGTGCCCTATGGAGAAAACACTTAAGATTTTACTTTCTTTGTAGAGGAAAAAGGTTAATAATTATAGCTCAAAAACACCTGAAAATGAAGGTTGGGCAAGGGGAGGTGATGAAAATCCAGGTTGTACTGATAGGCATCAAAGAGTTGAAGTGGGATGCTCCCCCCGCAACGATCCTGTTGCAAAATCTGCCTTTCATTTAGAGAAGCATTATATTTCTCTTAATTTTTATTTAAACTCTTTGAAAGTAGTGTCAGGTCTGGCTCTTGCATCCCCTCCTATCTGGCTGCCAAACAAAAGCTCTTCTGTTAACTAGCAATGTTAACATCTGTTGACAAAGTTAAACTGCTTGTGTTGCAGTTTTCTTGTCTTCATAGGTCATATATGTGGTCAAATGGGTATGTGCGTAAATGCAGTAACACAGGGGTTGTTGGCTTGTTGGTTCGTGGTTTGGTTGATCGTTTTTTTCCCTTAATGCTCTATGCATTAATGCATCATCTTCCAGTAATGCATTTAAGTACTTAAAACTAGATACAGATCTGGAATCCTCCCTAGGAGTTCAGTAGCAGCTGATCTTTAACAAGTTTCCTTTGTCAGTCTTTACATCAGCGATGGTCTTTGTTGCTGGAAGATCCAGGAGTGGTCGCTTGTACAGATGTCAAAAGAATCGGAGAAGTGATAACTAGCAGTTGTATCTGTTTATTGTTACATTCTCTTCAACTGAAATAAGTTTGTAGACAACCTTTGAATAACCCTGACAAAAGTGACAGCCATGGTGGACTGTAAGTACAAAACTATTTCTCCATTCAGTGACTGTGTAAGTGAATTCATTTTTGTTTCTCTGCCTCAGTGAAAAAATATTGGTGCTTTAGGTAATGAAGGGCCACAGGTAACATGTGGAGTGATGGATATCTCATACAGAGATTCTGGAGTTCTTTTGCTGCAAATGTTATCTCCGTAACACAAGGTCTTATTTTTCTTTTGTTAGGTAATTTCACAAGCAAAAGTGTGTGGAATCAGCAATGAATCAGAGACAGTCAAAAGACTTCGTTTGGCTATCGCAAATAAAGATTTTACTTTCAAAGCAGGACAGTGGTAAGATCTTCCAATATTTGAGTGGAAAATTACTAGCAGAAGTGCACTGTAATAAAGTGTTAAAAGGCCTCTGATGCTTGAGTCTTGGAAAAAATCCTTAATCGATGTAATACAATGTCTTATTATTGGGTGCTCTGTCAACCAGCTGATACTTGGCATAATTTTAAAGCAGCCATTATTAAATATGCTAATAGGAATTTTAAAAAGGGCAAAACCTGCTAATTCTTTAAATGTTCAGTCTAATTGTGTAGGTATTTTATGCACTCTACATTGTTTCTTCAAGAGTACTTTGAAGTACACTGCACTTCATTCTGCAAGCCGTCTTCACTGTCTTTATTTACTAGTTAGTAAATAAAGGAGCTGAGGCTGCTGATTTGCAAGATACTTAGTTTTGGTTTATAATTAAATCAAAATTGCCTGTTAACTTTTATTTCTTGCCCTAGAAGTTTCCACTCTGAAAATTACGCCTATTGGGTCAGACTAATATATAAATATAGATAGGCAAACCTGAAAATAAAAAACCCTGGAATTATTAAGCCTTTGAAATAATGAGCTGTTTGTTTAATGGTTTTTTCCTGGTGAAATAGTAGATTTTCATGTTTGTCTTCATTTCTTATTAAAATACTCCCACTCAAATCACTTACTTTTTTCCTCTTAGATATTAATTTAAAACTATGAGTAGTTGCTTCTGGCATTGGACATTTAAACGTTCCTGAACTTTTTATTGGCTTAGGCCATCTGAAAGTGGTTTTGCTGGAATCAAAGTATAGCTGCTGGGGTATTAACAGCATATGTTACTCATGTAGTGTTAATATGCTGGCTTTTAAATTTAGAACCAGAACACAAGATGTTGATTGCAATAATTTGTTTGTGGAGTAATTTGCTGCAGTTTTTGCACATGTGCAGTGACTCATATTAAATTCTTGCTTGCCAGTACTTGGAAAGTGCATTTACCCTCCAAAAATGTTGTAGAAATTATCATGCTGAAAACGGAAAGCTTTAATTATAATTACTCTTTTTCATTTTCCTCTTCCTTGAAAGTATTCTAATGCTATTGTAAGGTATACAACAACTTTTCTATACTTGTAGCTATAAACTGTGGTTGCATTTTTTGATGAGCACTACAAAACCCCAGGCCACAATTTCCTGAGTAGAAAAGGCTAACTTGTTAGAATTTGCTATAGTAAGATGTTACAGAGATTGTCACTAAAACGTATATGTTTTTTGGAAGTGTAATGATCAAGTTTTTCAGAAGCAAGAGTGAATTTGTTTTGCAAGCATGTGCCAGATAGTGGTCTTTATCTGGCTTCAAGCAATGAAGAGACTTGTTGCTGTTACCCATTTTGATTTACTAAAACATGCATTGAGGTATATGTATGTTGTAAGTACTTCAAAGAAGTACCTTTATGGATTTAATGTTTCTGAGCTCTTCCTCGAGCAACTACTAATTATTGTTTGTTTCTCAAAGATTTGCCTTTTCCCTTAAAAGGAGGGAGTTGGAAAAACACCATCAAATCTGGTTTACATCTTCTCACACCTCAACTTGTTGTGGGTTTATATAGTTGGATTTTTACTTCCTCCCTCCCCCCCCCCCCCCCATCACAGATAGCACTTCTTTAGGAGTCCTCTTATCCTTCCTACACACAACTAAGATGAGGCAAGCCATCAGAAATAGAAGCTAGTCCATTATAATATGGTGTACCATGCCCTGAAATTTCATGTAATTATGTAACTGGGAAAGAAGTACTAATATAAAAAGAAACATGCATCTATGTTAGTACTTCAGAAAGGCAAAATTACATTTGAGTTGTGTTTATATGTGTGCTTCCCCACCAGGTACAAGTAATATTTCACTTGTTTTCAAGCAGAACATTTTGCCTTAAATGAAAGCTGTTACTTTACATCATAAATGTAATTTCCTTTTTCCTTTTCATTAATGTAGTAAGATTATTTTCCACCAGAGGGTAGTAAAGAGCTTTAGTAGCATCTTGAGGTGTTCTTTGATACAATAAATGCTGCAATAGAAGAGTCCTTTCTAATCGCTTAGATCCTTACTACCTGGAAAGCTGAGCCCATGGTCAGTGGGGCTGCAGAAGCCGCCTCAGCTGTTTTTGTCATTGACCTTTCATTTGCAGTCAGATACCTTCGTACACCATCAAGCATAAAGTTCAACATTGTATCACTGTCGTATTGTGAATATCGCACTGTACATGCTTTGAGAGAGAGAGGCTCTTTTTCTTTGAAGGGTGAAGCTTTGGGGAGAGTAAGTCAGCAAGATTCTTTCTTTAAAAGTAGAGAACTATTCAAAGGGCTTTTCTCCTCCCTCAAGAACTTGTGATCTCCCTGAGGAATACAGCCTTGCTGTTTAAAGCCTTCCTGTGCAGTGGAAGCCAGTCTGTATTTCTTGTTTCATTCTCATTTAACTAATACTGAGCCAGCCTAACTCGGGCCAGAATTGCGTCTCTAGTACTTGGCATTGCTTACCAGTGTGGTTGGTTCCTAAGTGGAGCGGCACAATTAGTTTTAAACATTAGTTTTCTTTTGAAATACAGGGAGTTTGTCATGTGCTGTAGAAACCCGAAGTATTTAAAGATGTAAGCAACACAGAGGAGTCTAAATGTTAGATCATAAACCAACTTCTAACTTTTCCCGATGCTATTTGGAATATTAAAGCCTTACTTTTATGAAAATGAGTTATAGCCCATATGTATTAATGGCTTTCCTTCCATACTCTCTTAACTGCTGCTGTTGCAAAAGCTTAGCCCTGTGTTACCTTCTAACCTTTAGAAACCCATGTGTGGTTTACTTTAACTTTAAAAAAACTTGTAGTGATTTACTCCTTGTCAATGTCCTCGGAAGAGATGGCTGCCACCAGAGGGCACTGCAGGTAAAGCAATGCTGCTGCTGGGCTCTGGTTTCTCCCATGAGGAATGTCGTACGGACTGTGGTATTGCTTCAGGTATTTCAATTTCCAGAAAGAGAAAGTGTTTAATCTAAAGTCATTTCCCTAAAATTAGTCTCCCAATCTTCGTATGGTGGAAAATTGAAAAGCCCATCAAAGGGACCAAATGGAGTGGGATTTAAGCCACTCTATCAGACCATATTGTGGTTTTGGTGTAATATGCAATAATTTATTTAAACACTTAGAATTCCAGTCTGTTGTAAGATGTGGCATCTAATGCTAAAAGCAGAATGGTTTAAAAACCTGTTAATTTAACAATGGTGATGACATGGGTTTAGATGAAAGTAATTCTAGGGAACTGGTGTTACTCAAGATTCAGTCCTTTAGAAAAGCTGTGTTATGGAAATGAAGACGTTTTTGTACAGGAAGGATAACTGAAGCAAAGGCAGCCATTTGATTCTGGTTGTTGTTTCCCATGTTTTGGGGTTGTTTACTTTTTATAGGTTTTTTAGACTGTTGTTTCTGGTCTATTTTTAGGGTTGATTTCTTTATTCCTGGACTATCTGTAGTTGGGGGATTCTCAATGTGTTCAAGCCCTGGCCTCTTGAAACGAGAAGGAATATTAGAGCTGGCAGTAAAGTACACTGATCATCCTCCTGCCCACTGGATTCACACTGAGGTAAATAAGATCAACTGAGAGAGATCTGGCTGCTTTTTTAGCTTTCTTTTTTTTTTTTGGGGGGGGGGGGAGATGGAAGGAGTGATGTGTGTGATTTCAAACCCCTTTTTGCTATTAACTGCAAACCTCCTGTTGAATTATTCAACCATTTTTAGTACAATGTAAATCTGAAAATCTTTTGTTCAGTAAGGGACTGAGATTGGATGTTAAATTGGATGAGAAACCTCTGTTCTAATTTGTGTCCCTGAGAGCAGGCTGTGTTACACATTGCAGAGTTACATCTGGTAACTTGCCATGGTTCCTGCCTATTTCTGCAAATATAAACTGGGAATCATCGTCAGATGAATACAAATACAGATTATTAGGGGAGGGGAGCAAAAGGAGATATTTAGATCAGTTTTTCTGAAATGATAAACCAACAGAATACTTCAGAATTTCTATAGGATTAGTTTAAACATGCAGTATTTTTGTAATACTGACATAACCTTGACTTTTGCTGTATTAGAAGTAAAGTCTGACACTTTGGCCTCTTGCAGTCTCTTGTTTGTCCATTTACCCCAGTTAGTTGTAATCAGAAGAGTCCTATTTCTGTTGCTGATCATGTTTCATAGATGATCTGTCCTATCAACTCTTGTTCTTTTCACAACGACGTGTGATCTGCCCTATTTGCTGTTCTCTGCCTGGCATCTCTATTTCTTAAATGTGGCTGCGAAGTTTAAATTGGCAGATTCTTGTAGGCTTACAAATACTGCAGTTTTGTTCAGTGGTCAAGAGTTACAGTAAATGCTGATGCAAATTTACTAGGATTGAGAATGTGCAGAGTGCTGCTAATCTCGTAGTCGGCATGTGACCATCCACATGGTGGATTTTAATTGGTGTCATATCAAGTTATGTCCACTGGAACATAAACAGAATAACCTTAGTGAGATGTTGTGCAGGACTGGGAGTGCACGTGCCAGCAGACCCCATAATGCCTAAGAGGCTTGTCTGGGTTTTGATACTGCTCCTTAGAGAATATGAACGCCTAACTTCATAACTCCCAGCCTCTGTAGACTCTTATGGGATTTCTGATGTTGTAAGTCAGTTTGCTGTTGCTGAGTTTTCTGGATGGATTCAGAGGAAAAACTTCGGTTAGCTGGTAAGCGAAGTCAAACCCGATAATCCTGTGGAGAAGCCTCCAGGGTACACATGGACTCTTCTAACTAACGAAGTCCATGCTTTTCCTTAGGAAAGAACCAAAAACCAGCAACCTACAGTTTCAGAAGGCTGTGTGTGTGATGAGGAAAGTCCTGTACTTAATTGTTAGTTAGTTCTAAAAGGAGGTATCTCAGAGTAAAAGATGTTATGGAAATAGTACTCATTTACTCACTGTATCTGGTTTTTTAGAGGTATTTATTTTTTAATAGTACTGTATATGAAATCATAACTTTTGGCACAGTGTGCTTTATAGCTGGAGGAATTCATAGCCTTTCCTTTAGAAAAATGTACAGGCAATGTGTTTATTGCTTCACTTCTCTGCATAAACTGTTTCAGTGCTCTATGTACAAACTGGGCCAAAGGACACTTTCTCACTGTATTACTCCAGAGTTGTTTGTTTGGTTTTCTTTCCCTGATTACTGACTTACTGTTACCATTGCCACGGCTGAAGCACTGAAATATGTAGGAGACTCCTGCTTAAGCGAGGTTCTTCCAGTGTCCTATGTCCAATCTTGATGAGCTCTAGCTGGTTAAGGAGGCAGATTAGGCAATAATGAGAGTGTTTCTCCCTAACAGTGCCTATTGCCATAAAGGGTACCATGTTCTATGTACTCCTGCCACATGAATCTGGAACACTTCTGGACTCATGTGTCTCTAAACCAGAATAAAACATGGTGGGAAACCCTGGCAGTGTATATTGGAAAGGGAGAGAGAAATTAGTTTTAGATAATGAGTGCTGATTGTCTCGCACTATCATTGAGAGCAAATACTTTATGCAATAATTAAGAAAGGCAGGAAACTTCTTTTTACTGGCCATGCTCCCCCACCTTCAGGAACCTCTGTGTTGTGTGCAGTACCTGTGTCCCAGGGCTGCTTCCTTCCTCCTGCTGGAATTGTTAGGTGGTTAGACCTTTGCTTACTGTACACTTGTCATTAATGGAAGTCCTTTTTATCAGTTACTGCTTCCCCATAGCAGAAGAGTTTTTTGGAGGAAGTGTTTTTATCCTGTAAGTGATTAATTGCAGGTTTTCAGCAGTTCTTGTAGCTTTACTTTTTCCTCGCCTTTCCCACCTTCTTTGGTTTTCTTTATTTTCTAAACCCAGTATATGGCCTGAAATGGGTTCTGTTTTCTGTCCTGTTTGTTCTGTCAGCTTACAGTGAGGTGGGAGAACTCACCTGACTTGCCTGCACTGTGGTTTCACCCTTCATACTGGGATGCAGTGCTGGTTTTCCAAGAATATGCTGACCCAAATGGGGTTTTGTTGTTGTAGCTTTAGTTTTCCATGTATGAAAGTAACATGCTTTGGCAAATTTCTCTAAGCAAGAATTTCTTATGTGCAAGTGGAGAGGAAGAGATAAGGTTTTCCCCTGATTTTTCTTCTTCTGCAACTCTGAAGCTGGAAATGCAGAGCGGTTCTGCAGGAAATCATTCTTGTGGATACTTGCTTCATTTTGAGTGTTTTTTATTTTCTAGGAATGGGGATGGAAAAACCTTGTGCATCTGTGCCACTCATTCTGGCTTCCTTCTCTGGCCTCACAGCAAGGCCTTTTTTGACAGGAGGCTGGGAGTGGGTAAAAGTGTGATCTCACATGTTAACCTCGGGTTTTCACAACCACATCTTGCTGTGGAAAAACTCTTGCATGAATCACTCCCGTCCCAGCTCTTACGGGGGTGGGAAGGGGGAGTCACCATCCTGCCTTATCAGAAGAGTGAAACTTCTGAAAGGAGAACTAGATCCCTGGAGACACTGAAGCAGATTAAAATAAAGAGGGTTTCCAGCTATCTGAAGTGAAGGATTTCAGCTTTCCCTCACTGGTCAATGCAAAATCCCAGCCCAGCGAGTCTTGTGACTGTGATTCAAGAACTGTATTTCAACGTTTGCTTTGAGTTTTGAAAGTAAATATCTTCTTTTCCATCCTAGTGTACTCTTGACTCAGAAGTTGCCCTGCGAGTGGGAGGTGATTTCTTCTTTGATCCTCAGCCTGGTGACTCCCCTGTAAAACTAGTGCTGATAGCAGGGGGTGTTGGAATTAACCCATTGTTTTCTATACTGCTGCATATAGCAGATCTTCATGGATACCAAGAGGGTAAAGGAAACGGATACAAAATGGGAACAGTGAAGCTGTACTACAGTGCAAAAAATACAAGTCAACTCTTATTTAAGGTAAATTAAAAGTTTTTTTAAACGTAGCTCTCAGATATTCGGCTATTAGTGTGTGTATCATCCTGTTGCCAAATTCCAGAAAGCCCCTCTGTGTAAGACACTGCACAAAGACAGACTGTGTTCACTTTACGCCTCAAACCCCATGTGTGTTTTGTTACATACTCATGCTGTGTGTACAAATGAAACATGTTACTGGACATACCTGGTGTCATTGACTGTACCAGTAAGTCAGTTACATTTTGCTATCGTGTCATAAAAGCATCGTAGTATAAAGATTATATATACTATATATGTATATACACACTAGTAGTGTGTGTAATGCTATATGCTAGAACACTGTAATCACATAGACTCAGTATAGATTGCATTGAATTTAAAGACCAGCAAGAGCAACTATAGCCAAAGGAAATAGTTCCTGATATAATAGGGGAGCTTTATTGACAATGCATTAGTTATTATTGGGTATTAGTATACGAAGGAAAGATTTACAACCACTTGTAAGATTGCTCGTACAGTGTTTCAGTAACACTTAGCAGTTAAAGTTGTTATATTCAGCCATTAAGGGTCACCAGCAACATTTTAGGATCAAAGTAGCATAACTTCTGTAAATCACCGCTAATGATTTAAGTTTCTTTGACGTACTGAAAGCTTTTAATTGTAAGAAAGAGGGGAAAGTCTATCACGATTCCAGAGATCGTGTGCAGGATTCATCCCTGCTTTTTCTTCTGTGTTGGTACCCTATTTCCGGATACGAAGGTGATTGCTTTCTTTGGAAAATCATTTCATTTGTTGTTAGAAGCAGAATGATAAACTGGAACCTGTCTACTCCTCCATTTGGTCAACGTGATCTCCCAGCCTGTTCTAAGCATACACTGAATTTGTTTCAGTGCAGAAGCTGGTGCTAGAAGCATTTCCTGAGTGTCACTTCAGCAGTGTTAGGACAGCAGAGCTTTTGTGTTAGAGCTTTTGGGACAGAAAAGAGAGCACAATGACATGTCACAGTGCCTAAAATACATCCTTCCCCTCAAGTCCAGAACATGTATATGGGAATTCTCCTGTGCAGAGGATTGAAGAAGTAGGATCACTGGATTATGCTGTTGTGAGATACATCTGCACAGCTCTCCAGGAGGAGCTGCCTGGTTGTCACTAATGGTCTGAAGGACCAGTTCCCTGCAGAAGCAGCTGTGTGTAGGCTGATGGGGACAGAGGGCGATGCTGATGTAATTGGTTAATTCTCGTGTTGGCTGTGCTGTCATTTCACAGGCAGGGGCACTGTGCTCCTGGAAATCTCGCTGTTTAAAATGGCAGAAGCACACAGGGTTAGAATGACAAGAGATGGCATCCTAACTTTGCCACTTTGAGACGGCAGTTAGCTGGGTTTTCCTGATTTCATGCGGGCAGAATGTGACCCATGTTTCCTTATTGTGGCTGGGACGCTGGGCTAGGCCGTTTTCCTTGGGGAATTTCCTTAGTGGTCAGCTTCATTTTGTACTAAATCACCAGGCTGCAAAGAGCTGATGAGCTGTTGAAATTCTTCATTTGGTTAAAGAGAGCCCGTCTCTTGTCTTAGGATACTAGAAAATGGTACTTTGGTGGTTGATGTCGTGTTTATTTGCCACTTGGTGTCCATGTCACTGAATTACAGAATGGTGGGGTACCAAGAGGAGTTGTGAGTGACTGCAGGATTATTTAAGCAGGTTAAGTCCTACCTTAGGCATGCTTTTTTGGCCTGGTCCTAGGACTTCAACCCAAGAGGACATGGTTAGTTTCAAAGGTACTATCAAATTCTACATGGTTCCGCATGAAGGGGACTGAAGTTTAGAGTCACATCCAGAACAGTGAAAGCAGGTGCTGGTGGAACAGTGACTGGCACTGTCTGTCTGTGCTGCTTGTCACGCTGTGGCTTCTTAGGGAATCAGGAACAGATTTGTCTGTAAAACAGTACCTGTCTGGGGATTTGTGTTAAGCAACCTATGGCAGACTGACCACTGTAGTAACTAGTTAGTAAGCAAACACGTAACAAAGTGAGTTAACTTACCTGTTCACAGGGTAGACATCATTTTTTATTTCAGAAGATGTTAAGAAAGAATTTCCAGTGTCCATTCCTGCACTGGAATTCCCAGCGAGCACAGTCTGGGCAGTAACTGCATCTTGGTTTCAGAACTAAGTGCAGCATCTGATTGACAGATTTATTTATTTTTTACTGTGATTGGAACTGAAGCCGCTGGGGCTTTGGTGGGAACTATCACAGTTGTGACTTAAGGAACTGAAAATTACAGTTTCTATTCTGGTAAAAATAGCATGAGCATTGCACTGTAGTTGGTTTTCATTGGAGAACATGAGAGAAAGAGTAAAGGGTCTAGTAATCTTACCAGCTAAAGCAGACAAGACTCAAAAAGTTCCTAACAAGTGGTAAATGCATACCGCAGGATATGTGGATACGGAAAGAAGAAATAATGGGAAATTATATGTGGAAGGAGTCAGGAAAGGACAGAACTGGTTCTTATGTCCCAGTCTTACAAATTGCAACCTGCTGTAAAACAGGAGCACTGACAACCGCTGGTGGTGTATTCACATTCCAGTTACGGAAGTTCTGTGTACGTGTGCAGGTCAGCACTGTGAAATCAAGCCCAGGAAGGTCTCAGTGCTGAAATGCAAGAGTCTTGGTGCTGGGTAATAGTCACGGGTGCTGTGGGACCATGGGCAGACATCTGCTCTGATTTAATGGCCTGTGGTGTAAGTGAGTGTGTTTAACATTGCAGAAAAACATTCTTGCCTTGATAAATGCATTTCCTGGAAAGATCATGTGTCGTTTCCACGTCACCCAGCAGAGCTCACCCATCTGCAAAGAGCTTCAGCCACATGTTACAGGTAAAGATAATGGCAAGGTACAGCCATGGTATCTATGGTCTAAGTTTGATTACATCCTAGAGGATGAAGTGAAATGCATAATTTAGTATTTTTACATGTAAAGTTTCAAAATGAAATGCGAGTTAAACCTGTTTTATTTCACTGTGTGTATTGTGCTTCGG